ATCACGAAAATCATTATGATGTTACTGTTGGTTTTCTTATCATCTTTATCCTTTCGATTAATACTATCTTCATCTCAAGAAAATGTATTTTTTGTACCGCAACCATTCCATAGTTTTATTACTTAGCATTACAACAATCGTGATCATTATGATCAACCGTATCGTTGTCAGTGTTCCATAGGATCAAAATGGGACACAAAGGTTCAATAAGCATTTCTTACATTAGTTTGCATACTTTATTCTCGTGCCATTTCGAATCGTTGACAATGAAAGGGTAGTTACAGTCTTGTAGAAATAAGTGAGTTCGAGGGTTTTAGCATTTGTAGCGAGATAGAGAACGTGCAGAATTCCCCCAAGAAGATACAACAGGCAGGTCGTATCAAGCTGAGGAGAGCCAGGTCTTTATCCACGATCCTGTTCTCGTCGGGTGAACTTCAAGGCGAAAATCCTGAAGGAGGAGGAGTCTTCGATGTCCTTTTACACGTGGATGATACTTCCGTCGGTCACTCCTCCGAAATTCTGGTGGTGAGTGTTGAATCCCGGGGAGGTGGTGAAGGAAGTGTGGTGAGGCGCCACGGTGGTGGAGAAAGAGCCTCGATTCAGCGTCGTGGGAGAGAGGGAGACGCGGCTGGGCCTTGGGACGGAGGAGAAGGAATGGCTGGGTCTCGAGAAAGAAGAAAAGGAATTTCCAGGCCCCGAGAAGGAGAGGGACTGACCAGGCCCCGAGAAGGAGAGGGACTGGCCAGGCCTCGAGAAGGAGGAGAAGGTTTGGCCAGGCAGTGAGAGAGTTGAGAAGGAATTTCCAGGCCTCGGGAAGGAGGAGAAGGAATTCCCAGGCCTCGAGAAGGAGGAGAAGGAATTCCCAGGCCTCGAGAAGGAGGAGAAGGAATTTCCAGGCCCAGAGAAGGAAGAGAAGGGTTGGTTTAGTCCCAGATCAGAGGAGACAGAGACATGTGTGGGCGACAGGGGGATCAAGGAGGTCTGACCGAAGGGACTAGGTAATGGGCCGGTAAATGAGACGTGGCTTGGAGGCGTGATCACGTTGCTGATGCCAGGATGAAGGGGATTGTGATGACCAACAACGCCGTGGGACAACGGGGGAACGAAGCCCACAGAACTCTCCCCACTCAGAGAATTGCTGTAGTAGTTTCCGACACCAGGTCCTGGCTCCTCGCTTACGTGAGCCTGAAATCCGGAGTCGCCGTCCACGTAATACCTGACGACTCTGCAGGAAGGCACGGGGGTTAGCACTCGTACAAATTCCACCTGGTTAGTATACCAGGAAATCCACATCAAAATAAACGAAATTTGCCATTAAACTCACTGGTAGAGGCCGTTTGGTTGAAGCCATCGGTATTCGCCGTCAGTCCTCCCCGTGCGAGACACAGTCTGCTTGTGTTCCTTCACATCGCCTGTCTCCGGAGCTTCCACGCCGTATGCGAATTCGTGTGGCATAGGCTTTGAGTTAAGAAAATGACTAGGTTATTATTTCGACACTGGTTTATGCAATATTATTTTAAAACGTCAAGTGCAGTTTACCTTGATAGTGGATAAAGAAACATACCGGATGGTGCTCGAAGATTTGCGAGGACGCGGTTGTGGCTGCAACAACGGCGCCAAGGACAAGAAGCTGAATGGAGAGAACAGGTGGTTTTAAGTTCCAGTGATGACGAGGCTTATAATGATTATATACATCTGAATTAACGCTGATATCAATGAATAAATATTAGAAGAGGTGTCGTAAAATCCACTGTGTAGTCGTATAACCAATGGTGCAATTGGGAAACAAGATGCCTAATGCAGTTTTTAATGTAAACACAGCATCACCGCACACCACCCAAACAGATCATGACATCGAGATAATCAACAACGCTAAAATCTTTCCCTATGCTTCCCTTATGTTATTGAAAATGGATGCTGTTAAAGAGTGTGTTAATGGGAAAGGTTGTGTGTAAGGAAACTGCGTGCTGGGAATCTTGTAAAAAATATCGTAGGTACTATGAGATCAAAAACGAAAATGACAATCGGGAGATTAATCAATTATTCACTTAGATCAGGTTCACTTGGTATTAATACATATGTACTTTATTCGTCATGTCTGGAAGTAGAACGAAATGAAACTAAATATTTTTTTCCCCTCGTGCGATCTATATCAAAACCACATTCTTTTTAGAATGATCTGATTGGTTTCCGCCCATGAAACTGTTTTGCACTGTAATATATTTTGCACCTACTTCCAAATTACTTATTCCTTCTTGTATCCTCTATTATCTTTATACAATACTAACAGAACACTCAGAGAAATAACCATCCGAAAAAAATAACAAACACTAAGTACCAACGAGGAAAAAAGTACTAATGGCCGTTACATAGAATTATTCCCATCTGAGATTTGTCCATTGTAATACTCTTTTTTTTACGGGGTTATATACATTTCCCTTCGCTCACCTGTCTGAAGACCATGGTTCAGAAGAAGCTGCGTGCGAGGAAGGAAGGGAAGCAGGGGATAACACGCCAGCTCCAACTACCATTATATACAACAGGGTACCTTTCACAACATCACGACCTTAGCCAAAGAATGTACAGATGCCATAGAGAGCGCCTTCGTTTGAATCTGTGACGTATGTTGGTTAGCACTATTCATCCACGAAAAATGAATTAAAACAGTCCTTATCTAAAATGCAAACTGAGTCCTTAGTACAGAAACGACTGAAAAATGGAGATTGGGGAATTGAAAAACCGGTGACTGGTTGCAAGAAGAAACAGACTGTTAACACCTTATCAGTCTAAACTCCGCCCACTGCCTGCATATGGTACGCAGTCGTATGCAAGAAGTGGACTTCCTTTAAGAGCAATATGCAACTGATCTACGAACGTGACAGTATTGCTGATAATCCAGATCAGGCTACGGAATGCATTTTGACTAGCAGTTTCAATAGATAATATCTATATTAACGGTTTTAGGATATCGTGCTCTGTAGCTCTGATAGGATGCGGGTTTTTTTCTTAGCCATTCGTTTTTCATAATATATTTCTGGTAATCCTAATGGTAGTAATATTGATAATGATGTGGCAACAACAAAAAAAGGACAGTAATAATGATAATGATGATAAGAGAGGATAATAATAATAATAGTAATAATGATAATCACAACAATAATGGTGGTAATAACGATGATAATGATAATAGGTAATATTAACGTTACATTATCATTGTTGTCACTATCATTATTATTATCATCATTGTTATTACTATTATTATCATCATCATTGTTATTACTATTATCATCATCATCATTGTTATTACTATTGTTACCATCATCATTGTTATTACTATCTTGGTAAGCCATAAAACACCGGAAAAATCAAGAATTATACAAAAAGTGTCAGTGCAGGTCAAAACACAACTAAGAAAGCAAGAGATGATAAAAGATAAATATCTATTTACTTAATAAAAGCAGATTTACTAAGCTCTTAGACTTACCAAGAGTCTGAGAAATTACAATCTCTGAAGACATTCTATTCCAAAACCTACAAAGAGCAGTAAAAAATAATCTAGAAAACTGAGATGTAGACAATCGAATGACATCAAATGCCATAGAATTGAGAGCTGCAAAACTTACAGTAATTCTTGCAAGTTAACAAGAATCGATTGAAGACTTACAGAGAGTGTGTGTGAATTATTGGTTACAATATTACGTATGACTGAAGGAGCCCCAGTATTTCTACAAAGACCATTGGTTAAATCCAAGACAGGCAAGAGTAATAATAGTAATGATAATAATGATAATGATGATATTTAAAAAAATAATAATGATAATATTTATAGAGGTAGTAATAATGACAAAAAATAATTACAGTAACAACAACAACAACAAAATAACAATAATAAAAGTAATAATAATGATAATCATCATCGTCATCAGCATGATAATGATTATAACAATATGAATAACTGTATTAATGATGACAATATGAATAAAAGTAACAGCAGAAACAACAACAACAATAATAATGATACTTATAATTATATAAACAATATTAATAATATACCCCCCCACACACATATGTGTATATATATATATATATATATATATATATATATATATATATATATATATATATATTATGTATATATATGTATATATCTATGTATGTATGTGTGTATGTGTATGTGTATATGTGTGTGTGTGTGTGTGTGTGTGTGTGTGTGTGTGTGTGTGTGTGTGTGTGTGTGTACGTGTGTGTGTGTGTGTGTGTGTGTGTATGTGTGCATGTGTGTGTATATGTGTGTTTGTGTGTATGTGTGCATATATATATATGTAAATATATGTATATATACACACATGTTTATAGATGTATATATATATCAATATATGTATATATACACACATGTTTATAGATGTATATATATATCAATATATGTATATATATTTTAACAAATATATATGAATGTATATATAAATCCCCCACACACATGTATATATATATATATATATATATATATATATATATATATATATATATATATGTATATATATATATATATGTATATACATATATATATGTATATATATATATATATACATATGTATATATATATGTATATATGTGTGTGTGTGTGTGTGTGTGTGTGTGTGTGTGTGTATGTGTGTGTGTGTGTGTGTATGTGTGTGTATGTGTGTGTGTGTGTGTAATCATCATTACCATTATCATTGACATTAAAAGTATTATTACTGTTTCAAATACCATCATTGTTAATAGTATTCGCATCATTGTATACAGCTCAAGCGCTAAACGTAGAAAACGATATGAAAATGTTATTCACGAATTATTCATCCTCACTGTTACCTTTCCCTCTATCGTTATCATTATCCATAACATATGCGCTTATAACCGGTGATCTGGGTGAAATGATCACATATGGTATAAACGTTATCTCTGAAGCTGGTTTGTATGAACATTTTGCATAATACCTTTTCGCATTGTATATTACTGTCTTTGTGAATACATTTTTTTGAAATTCATTCTCGTAGACACGAATCTAGAAACTGTCAGTGGTATAAAAATGAAGTTACTATTGCTTTCCATTACTGCTGCGCTGATTACTGATACACGTGTGTGTGTGTGTGTGTGTGCATGTATATATACAGGATATATGCATATATATATATATATATATATATATATATATATATATATATATATATATATATATAAATACATCTATGTATATATGTATTGTATCTATATCTGTCTGTCTATCTATATATCTATCTATATATTTATATATACATAATGTACACACACTGTAAAAGGCTATGGTGAATAGCAGTGATGGTAACACACGAGACAAGTCTTGGGTAAGAGCCGAGTACGGGAGGTCGCGGCGCCGACCAGCCCTGGGGGGGGGCGGAAGGCTGGTGAGAATGACCTGAGCCAAACAAGGTCAGATGATCTCGTCATTTTAAGTCCGCGCCGAGGCGCTGGTTCTCTACTGGTTTATGGCTAATGTAATGCACAAATCGTGGTTGTGTACACGGTATATTGCTCGGCCACGGCGCCCGTCCACAGCATCATGGGGCGACTGGTACTTGGTTTCCAGGTTCTGGCGATTTTCCGGTAACGTCCGTCCCACAGCATCCTAAGGTCCTCTTTCGGTGCCGTGTCAGATATCGTGAACCAGATTATACACGTAAGGGCCAAGATAGTAAGAGAAAAAAAGACGGCAGAGAAGAGGGGGTGATTAAGCGCCACCAGCCGATTATTTATATAGATTTGCAGTTTTTAATTGTCGATGTTACGTTATTTTCGTTTTTATTTCATTTTGTGTTTTACTTTCACAAACGTAAAGAAGAAAATAGAAGAGGGAGACGTTAGTAGTTATCCGCAAGGACCTGGCTTGAACTACCAATCGTCTCTGATAGATAGGAGAGTAAATAAGGGAAACGACAACGGCAATCCGCAAGGGTTTACTTGAACCAATTGTCGTAACACAGAGAAGAAATGTATGTAAAAATAAGCAATCATGTACTAGTCACTCGTCACGACTGGCAAAATCGCGGGCAAAAGAGATACGCCTGCAACTACGACAGCAACAAACCCTATTAATGAAAGGTTTGAGTGTCTTTTGTTCTGCGTTGATGAGTGAGTGAGTGAGCGTGTGTGTGTGCGTGTGTGAGCGACAGGGAACGTCAATGACAATGAAAGTGATAGTGACCTCACACAGAGCGGAAATATATGCCAAACGCGGAGATTACCATTCATTTTACCAACAATGCTATATATTAGCTATAGAATTAATACAAAATTATTTCAACTACCACAATGAATTCAACATTTAATGATATGCGACAGAATAACGCACTAATGAACGGTGACTTGAAAACAAGCTTTTGCATGCGAATCTTCTCGGGGTCAGCAAATCTCCCGAGGTAGCCATGTCTAGCTACGCATGCAGACTTTATTGACGGGGGGTCTATACCTAAAAATACCGTACTATACGAAGCGAAACGAGCTGGGAAAAATTATAAACAACCCACTTTATGCTACGGATCTGTGATGGGCACTCGTGACATGCCCTACGGGTATCTATCACGAATCACACGATCGTTGGGATTTACCCAAACATGCCAGCGACGTCTAGGGGGTGAGCAGGGTGTGATTAATAAGTGAATAATGACTCTAGCCTAAACCCTAGTCCTACATTAATTAACGGACGTAATTGTGGGTCACACCGGCTCAAACGTTGCCGAACTTACGAATAACTTCGGTTATACCTGTAGCCACTATCGTTACGTCGGGGCGTAGATCTATTAGGCATATACGCAACCCCGGGTTAATAAGGCATCCCTGTGCACTATGATATGGGGAAATTTCTAACGCTATACTCAAATAAAAAAATGTATATAAAATCGCGTTACATACAAGTTCCATTCTAGCGCCGAAAATGTAACATTGCTACGTGTTATCCCTATGTTGTAAACAATTACAGAAAACTATGAATGTGAACAGATAGCCGTTTCATATATATAACCCATTTCATGTTTCAATCGCCCGAATTGAGAGAAAGTGAGGTCAGGTCACCCAGCTGTTCAGGCGAGTTCCCTGACAAATGACTTTCACTTCGAGGTCAGGTCAAGACGGGATATGCGCGATGTGAATAGAAATCAATGAAATGATATTCGCGAAAAAGGATAAAATCACGAACGCACTAAATTCGTTGCAGTTAAAACAATATAAATCTCTAATCACGAGCAAAAAATTAAGTCAATAATAAATGAACGATATTCATGTTGGTTGACTACATACCCTGATCACAAGGTATGTAATGTATGTATGTATGTAACAGGGTAATGCATGTAAGTAAAAGGAATGAGAGCGTGTCATTTGCTGTCAACTAGCACTTTAACCCAACAAAACCATCGTGACAGTGACAGCACATACGGCTTAACACATTTATGGGAGAAGATAGGGAAAAGAAAGGAAAGGGCCCATAAC